AAGAGGGCTTGGCAGACCGGCAAATGGGGAGGTCAAGGCACGGGGAGGGCAAGCACCTCTGCCACGAGGACGAAGTGTGTGATGACCAGGGCCCGCTGAGGGGCTGTGGGCTTGCTGAGGATCATGAGCTGCACCCACTGAGAAACACTGTTGAAGAGGGAGATGAATCGCTCCAGGACAGGGTTGTCACGGTGCGCCATGAGCTCGGTTTTCACGATAATGTGAGGGTCAGTGTGTCATAGGGACTTGGGGCTTCGGCCCCTCCCGTGGGCCCATCTGACCTCCCATTGCCGGTCTGCCAAGCCCTTCCTTTCCACAAAACCCCACTGCCTCTCTCCCATAAAGGGCCGGGGTATAGTTCTGTGGGCCCACTTGGTGACTCCACGCCTCCCCTCCCCATTTGCCTCCCAGGGAAGGTGGCTGCCAGCGGCAGAACGGTCACACACCGGCTATGATGGCGGTGATTCGGACCTGGCGACAGGGTGCGACGATGGCTCTGCACCCGGGCCTCAAGGAGCTCCACAAGCCACCGTCCAGCCGTCTGAGACATTTCTTCAGACGGCTCCAGCACGCTTGCGCAGGCGCTCGTCCCGCTCGGTAGTGGCGGGGGCGGGGCAGGCACCAGGGGTTGATAGCTCCAGCTGGTCCTGGCTGTGGCCTTGGCCTTGGGTTAGGGGCTCTGGTCAAGGAACTCAGATTTAACCTGGGCTCTAGGGTTTGGAGTGAATGCTGAGATGGGGTCTGATTTGAGGCTGGCATGTGGATTGTGTGCTGTGTTTGAGGCTGGGCCTTAGTCCTGGGTTGAGTTCCTGGCAGTGGGTTGTGTTTAAGGGTTGGGACCAAGGTCTGGATTCTGCAAGCAGGGGTGGTTTCTAAACATGGTCTTGGGCTCTGAGTGAAGTTCTGGGCTTGGCCTTGACTTGGTTTGGGGATCTAGGATGGGAGTTGGGTTCTGGTTTAGTTATAGGTAACGTTCTAGACATTGGCTGGAATTTAGGTTTTAGGGTTTGGAGTGAGTTCTTAGGTACTTCTGGGCTTTGGACAGGATTGGGGTTGAAATCTGCACTGGATTCTAGGTGAATCTCAGAGCTCGAGGCTGGGTTCTGACCTGGCTTCTTGGCTAAGTTCTTGGCAGTGCCTTGTGTTCAAGGTTTGGGGCCAAGCTGTGGTCTGGTCTATGTGCTAGGCCAGCGTGGGGTTGTCGGGGTGAGTTCTAGCCAGGCTTTGTCCTGAGTCTGGCTTCTGAACTGGGCTCTGGACTCTGGGCCATGGGCTCCTGTGAACATTAGGGGCCAGTGGGTGTGATCAGACCCATGTGTTGCAGGTGTCTCTGGATCAGTATCAGACGGAGGATGAGCTGTACCAGCTGTCCCTGCAGCGGGAGCCTCGCTCCAAGTCCTCGGTGAGGGAGGGACTCCTGCTTCTTCGCTTGGCCCACCTGAGAATCCCAGCATATGAGGACAGGAAGAGCTCTTAGAAGCTGCCTACCTCACCCTTACTTCTTGTTGGACAGAGGCAACCTGGGGGTGGGGAAGTGGCCTTGGGCAGGCCCTCTTCTTCCCTGGGGGTTCCCCGCTCTGGTCTCCTGGGCCCTGGGCTCCCTCCGCTTCTGGCCCTAGCTCAGGCCTGACTCTTCCCACAGCCAACCAGCCCCACAAGCTGCACACCACCTCCCCGGCCCCCCGTGCTGGAGGAGTGGACCTCAGCTGCCAAGCCCAAGCTGGACCAGGCCCTCGTGGTGGAGCACATTGAGAAGATGGTGGAGGTGAGACTCCTGCAGCCTGCGCAGTGGGGCAAAGGCCACTGACAGAAGCAGTGTCAGTAAGGGCTGGCTGGCCAGAGCACTGCCTGGGAGCCAGCACTAGTGCCATGTTCAAGGACCAGTGCTCAGTCCCCAGGAGGTGCAGGGCACAGCAGGCTGGCTGCACAGGACTGAGGCCCCCGTGGGGGAGTGGGGGAGCCTCTCTGAGACATCCTTCATGACATGGACTGGGACCGTGGAAAGGGATGGGTCCCGACATTCCTTTGATTCTCCCTCTTCCACCCCCGTATGTCCCTCCGTGTGCCCCAGTCTGTGTTCCGGAACTTTGACGTCGACGGGGATGGCCACATCTCACAGGAAGAGTTCCAGATCATCCGTGGGAACTTCCCTTACCTCAGCGCCTTTGGGGACCTCGACCAGAACCAGTGAGGAGGACTGGGGGACTGGGGGAGAGGGAAGGCAGCCCAGCTCACTTCCCCAGCTTCAGTTCCCTCCTGTGCAATAGCAAGCCATGGAACGAGATGATCTTGGCCGGGGAAGCTACCCACACGGGGAGGGCCTCTTGCTTTTTGGGGGAGGGGAGGCTACCAGCTGTGGAGGCACAATGTTACCTCACTAATTCAGACAGATGGGGGGGGGGCTCCACCTGAATCTTCCAAAGACCATGGCCTGGGGACTATTGCCACATAAGTGCTGTTTTATTTGCAGAGCTCACAGCTGGCAAAAAGTGTAGGCACGTTGAGCTCCTGGGTAGCCTGTTTTAATGAATAGATAAGAAATGCCTGTAATTAGCAGCACCCACTTGCTTATCAACAATTCATATGCTGACAATTTGGAAAAACAGCTGGTTCTCTGAAGTAGGTTAAACATGCCCCCTGCAACCACGTTCATGCCCCATTTTTGCCGAGCAGACGAAACCCCAATCAAAATTTACAGTCCATCCCAGGGCGATTTATTTTTTAATATTACCTGGATTTCAAGAATCTGTTGTTTTTTATGTTCATGTTACAAAACTCCACGGTGGAAAAAAAACTAAAACCAGCTAGTCAAATAAATTTATAGTGAACAAAGTGCTTAAAGAAAGAAGTGAAAGTTCCCTCCCTTCTTTCCCACCAGTAGAGGTTAGCATGATAAACACTGTTAACAGTGTTAACGGCTTGGCAATATGTGTACCTTCCAGTCTTTTTTCCTATGCATGTGCAAATTGATAGAGATTTTTCGTGTTTGGTGTCTATTTCACGGACAAACAGGATTATAGTATGAATCCAGTTCTGTCTGTGGCTTTTGTTGCAGTTGCTTCGTTTTTTCTCCCAGAGTCGAGGCAAAAGTATTTGAGTTCCATGTTATTTCCCTGGGTTGGTGGGTGGACTGTTTTCCAGGCCACCTTTTAAGTGAGGGTGTAGCCCTTTGAGACTTTGGAGGCCCTGGCTTCATGGAGAGGTCTCAGCCTTAACTCTCTGCCTCATCCAGGCCCCAGGCTGTGCGCCTGGCACGCGGTTGGGCATTAAAACCCAGCACCAAGAGGGAGACCAGCAGCTCCCTCCCAGGATCTGCCCAGCTTACTGCTTGATCATGAAGCCCCCTCATTGTTTCTGGAACTTGACGGTTTCCATTTCTTTTTTGCGAAATCACCTATGCATTTAAAGCAATTTTTGATATATTTTTAACCAGCATCTAGGTATTTGTAGCAGTGGGGTTTTCTTTTTTCTTGTTTTCTTTGCTTTTCTTTTTCCTTTTTAATCACTGTCTTGACAGAACTGCACGCCTTGCTTTTTTTGCTTTTGTGTTTACTTTCCACTTAACCCTTTATCACAGACATCTTTCCCTGTGGATTCATGTAGAACTGCCCCATTCTTTAGAACAGCTGCAGAGTATTCCGCTGTATGGCTGGACCATCATTTTCCTAACCGGTCTCCTGCTGATGGACATGTAGACTGTTCCTGTTTTTCACTATTATTATATGCCATGCTACTGTGAGCATCCTTTTACTGATACACTCAGGCTAGTATTTCTGTAGGAGAAATTCCTAGAAGTGGGATAATTGGATCAAGAGATATGCACATTCTAAATTAGGAGACAGGCTGCCAAACTGACCTCAGACAAGGTTATACCCGTTTGCACGCCCATCAGCAGTGTACAAGTGCCTGCTTCCCGACTTCCTTGCCAACAGTGGATGCTATAAAAAGCTTTACAATTTTTTCAGTCTCATTGGCAAATGGTATCTTGGTTAAATTTGCATTTCTTTAATACTAATGGGGATAGGATATCTTTTTATATGTTTATTGGCCACTTACATTTCTTCTGTTAATTGCCTGTTCATATTCCTTGTCCATTATTCTACTGGGTTTGTTGGTCTTTTTCTCATTGATTTCTAGAATCTCTGTTAATGGATATTAACTCTTTGCTGTTGAATATGTTTGCAAATATTTTCTCCCTGTTTGTCATTTATGTTGTCTTTTTCCATATAAAATTTAAAAACTTTTGTGTGTTTGATATGTCAGTCTTTTTCTTATGGCTTCTTGGATTTGTGTTACGTGTAGAAAGGCCCTCAGCCCCTCAAGATTACAAAATTAGTCTCATATCTTTTCAGATGCATGTATGATTTTTATTTTTTACATTAGTGTTCTCAATTCAGTGAGAATTTAGTTTTCATGTAGAGTTTGAGGTGGGCATCTAGATTTATATCTTTTTCTCAATGGCCAGTTGTCCCAATGTGCCATTCATTTGAAAGGGCCACCTGGATCTATTATGGGCCCCCAACTGCAGTGGGTGGGAGTCCCAAACGAGGGCCAGACCTAGTGGCTGAAGACTCACTCTCGGCATAGCCACTGTTGTAAGCATGCTATGTGCATTTTCTCATTTAATCCTCACAAAAATCCTATGAGGTATAGGAATTCTCATTATGCCCATTTATAGATAAGGAAACTGAGGCCCAGGGAGATTAACTGGCCACAGGTCATGTAGCAGGGAAGTAGAGCGGGGATTTGAACTGAGGTCTGTGTCCAGAATACATGCTCAGGGAAGAATAGGGCTCTGTTGAAGCCCTGGGTTACACGGGAACTCTAGATTGCAGGTGTCTTTCCAGCAGGATTATGTGAGAGTGAGAGAGATGCAGCTTTCCCCATCTCATCTGGCCCCAGAACTCTCTAGAGAGATCTTAATTTGCAGGGCTCCTGAATAGTGTGCAGAGCACACTTTGGGAACCTGAGGCTGGGGATTCCACAGGAAAGTGCACAGCCCTTTAACTTTTCACACCCAGTGTGAAGTGAGCAGGGCAGGAATGTGACCCCCATTGTTCTGAGAAGGAAACCCAGGGAAAATGACTTGCCCAAGACCACACATCAGTTGATGGCAGCTACTACATCTGCCAGTGCTTTCTCTTCCCTGCACCGGGAGTCTGAAGTTCAATGAGGACCTTTTATTTGGTAGGGGTTTCCCAGAGGGATGGGCAAGGCCAGTGGTGGGCTGTCCTGGGAGGGCTCGAGCTGAGCCACCCCCCCCACCCCCCTGCAGGGATGGCTGCATCAGCAGGGAGGAGATGGTCTCCTACTTCTTGCGCTCCAGCTCTGTGCTGGGCGGCCGCATGGGCTTCGTACACAACTTCCAGGAGAGCAACTCCTTGCGCCCGGTCGCCTGCCGCCACTGCAAAGCCCTGGTGAGCGCCCCCTACCTGCTCGCCGCCCAAGCCACTCCCTTCCAGCCCTGACTTTGTCCCACCCATGCCCCACCCCTTCTGGCCCAGCTCCTGCCGGATGCTTAGCTCAGGCAAAACCAGTTAATGCCACCTGCCTCTCCTCTTGCTGTGGTTCTGTCCCTGTCCCCGTCCCCGAGGCAGCTCTAAGATCCCAGTCCTGGCCCTCAAGAAGGGAGAGGGAGAGTCATCACCTCAAATCCCTCCCTCCCCAGCACGGCCCCTTCCTCTATTGCAGATCCTGGGCATCTACAAGCATGGCCTCAAATGCCGAGGTGAGACGGAATGAATGGCAGGGCTGCTGTGCAGTGCTTTTGGGAGAGTTACTGTTAGGGCGGGGATTCTTATTTTGGTGGGGCAATTGCCAAGGAATGAAGTCCCTGGGAACCAGAGAGGCATGCTGATTGATGTGAAAGGGTAGCCTTTAAAGAGGATGTCTATTTTGGTGAGGCAGCTGCCGGGACAGAGAATGTTGTACAGGGCATAGACCGGCAGTTAGGATGAAGAGAGCACTTTGGAAGGAGATTCTTAATTTGGTGGGGCAGCTGCTAGGGTGCAAAAGAACCTGGGGAGAGGTGGAGGGTATTCTGACCCATGGCCCTGGCTGGGCTCCCCATTTGCCCCCCCCCCCCAGCCTGTGGTGTCAACTGCCACAAGCAGTGCAAGGACCGCCTGTCAGTGGAGTGCCGGCGCCGGGCCCAGAGTGTGAGTCTGGAGGGGTCTGCACCCTCACCCTCACCCACGCACACCCACCATCATCATCGCGCCTTCAGCTTCTCCCTGCCCCGCCCTGGCAGGCGAGGCTCCCGGCCTCCAGGTAAGAGGGAGTCTCATTTGCACAGGCCTTGGGAGGGAGGGATCCAGGGCCACTGTGGCAAAGTATTAACTGATGCAGGATGGAAACCATTCCAGAGTTCATAATTTTCTTATTCTTATGGCACAATAAGAAAGTGTTGGGCAGGTAAGGGTGCCAGAAGGTGGCCAGGGAGCCCTTGACTTTCTCAGGCTAAGGAGGAGAGACCCTAATTTATAAAGATGTCTAAAAGTATAAGAAGCCTTATGAATTCAGGCACACTCTTATTTTGTTAGAGGGATTGACAAAGGATAGGAGAAGTATTATGTGAGCCACTTGCCTGCATCTCCCTTTTTGGCTGCTCTAGAGGCTATTCTGAGAAAAGTCTCAGCTCTAATAATCTCCTGGTGGCTCTCTTGGGGTCTCTGGTGGTTTTAGGTCAGTTTGCTAAGTGACAATTGGCCAAATGATTATTTTGCCGAGAACAGTCTGAGCAACTATGTTAAACTGGGGTTTAAGGCAGTTGACCACAACCATTTGGCTTGGTATTAGTCCTAAAAAAAATAGAGGCAGACACAGGGCAAAGTCCTCAAAAATAGAAGAGATGAAACCATTTGCATTGAACCTTCCAGAAGTGCAGGGGTCTAAGATGTGAAGTACACACAGCAAACTGCACTGACAAATCTGTGGCTACAAAAAAGCTGCAGCAAAATGAAAACTTAGAAAAAGAACCTCAGATATTGGGCCATTAGGTCATTCAGGGAATTGATTTTTGGTGGATGGGTCTGCTTCTGGGATGGGGCGGGTGCCTCCTGTGAGGGGGGAAGGGTTGCCGAGGTCACAGGGACCCTGGAGTGGGTTCTGTGACAACCCTCCTCCCAGCAGAGATCCGTGAGGAGGAGGTGCAGACGGTGGAAGATGGGGTGTTTGACATCCACTTATAATCGATGGTGAGTCCTCCCACAGCTGGCCGGAGCCTCCCCACTTAGGGCTGGAGCCGGGGTGGAGGGTATTGGGGAAATGGGTTCTCTGTCCAAATGGCACAGGCCAGGTGGGGAGTGACTTCCTCACAACCTCTGTTTTTCTTTTCCCAGCTGTGACTGGATCAAGGACTCATTCCTGCCTTGGAGAAAACACTTGGACCAGAGCAGGAAGCCTGGGGGTGCTGGGGCAGGAGGATGGGGCTGGGGAGGGCATGAGGGTGGCATGCGGCTAAGGACAGGGCCTGGGCTGGTGTCCCTAAGGTTGTACAGACTCTTGTGAATATTTGTATTTTCCAGATGGAATAAAAAGGCCCGTGTAATTAACCTGGATCATCAGAGCCTAGAATCGTGGGGGGCTGTATTACAAGAAGAACTACAATCTTAGGATCTAGAGCTTTGTAGCTGGAGAAACTTGGGAGGTCTGGAATCTCATGTGTCTGGAATCTTGGGGGATAGAACCTTAGAACTGGAAAACCTTGGAACATAAAAATCTTGAAGAGTCCAGAACCTTGGGGATCTAAAATTTGAAACTAGAGTGTCCTTGCACCCCAGACTTGCTGGGCCCAGTGGTCCTGTATAACCTTCAGCCTTCAGCCCACAGACAAAATTCATTTGCTTGACAGGTGGCCTTTCAGCTCCCTCTTGGACACCTCAGGCAATGGGATGCTGGAGTCCTGGGAAGGAGGGGGCAGCCCAGAGTGCTGGCTGCAGGGGGAAAGAAGGGAGGGAGAGAGTGACTGGGCAGTCATAGGCCCCTGCTGGGCTCATGCCTCAGGATGGGGGCTGCAGTCCTTGGCCTGGTACTGCTGCCAGCCGGAAGGACAGTGACTTCCAGAGGAAATGCATATTGATCCAGCTCTCAGCCTCCGGCAGCCTCTCCCAACCCAGCTCTTCCCTCCTGAGCTTGCAGCACAGAGGTTTTGGGGGTCACCGCTACCTGAATAAGGCTGAAGCCACTTCTAAAGCTGGTCTGGGAGTTCCTAAAGTGTCTGAAGCTGGGCCAGGCTGCCCCTGGGGTCAGAAGGCTCCAGACAGCATCGCTGAGAATGGAAGCTACCTCCTAGCCCCCCAAACTAGAGGTGTCCTACAGCAGCTGTGGGATTGTCTTGGGGATGGAGACTTGAGCATCCCTAAGTCCAAAGCACAACATCTGTGGACATGGCAATGGCCTCAGCTGCCCCGTCAATGCCCCCGTTCTCCTCCAGGGTCCCCCCACCTCAGGTTCATCTCCACCTTTGAGATCCCACTCCCCCTCCCCCAGCCTAGTCCTTATTTTGCGTTGTCCCCTTCTCCTTCCAACAGCTCAGGCCTGCCCCCTGTTGGGCACCCCTCCAGCCCTGTACCCCTGTTGAGTGCCCCCTCTGTCCCTCCTTCTGTCCTCAGCCCCCTCCAGCCCTTCCCCCTCTTGAGGCTGTAATATCCGTTTCACGATTTGGGGGCTGAGTTGCTATAACAACAGACGGCGATTGTGTTGTGAAGAGCAGCTCGCTCCTGCGCCACTGCCTCCTGCACTGCCTCCATCCCTGCAGCCTGGTCGGCTCCCCTTCACACCGCCCCCCAGCTCCAGCCTGGACTCTTCTGTGTGTGTGCGTGTGTTTGCATGCATGTGTGCCCAGGTCTGCCCCGCCCGGGATGTGATGTGTGCCTGTCTTTTCATGGTTGCATGTGTCTGAGCTTCACATTCGTGTGTGTGTGTGTCTGTGCGCATGTGTGTGTATGGACATGCATGCTGTATTCACTGCATTTTCTCTCCCCTGTGTGTCCCCACTGGCCTGTGTATATGGGAGAAGGGCGTGTGCTCAGCATATCACTCAAGTGTCCACATTGGGTGGGTGCCTGTATGTGTACGTGGGGTGTGTCTTGAAGTGGTGGGTCCCACCTGTGTGGAGGACCTTGTGGAGAGACATCCCTGTAGGTGGGAGGAGCAGGGAGGTGCAGCAGCTGCCAGGTGACCTTTCCTGCCCTTGATGGGCAAAGCTAAGGATGAGGACAGGAGACAAGTGCTTACCCTTACCTCCCTCCCTGCCCAGGCTTATCTATAAGGGTCTGAGAGTTAATCTGATCCACTGCCCCTCTCTGTCTATCTATGCCCTGGTGCCTGGGTGGACAGGTGTGTGTGTGAGAGATTATGTGTGAGTCCGAGGAAGCCGCAGGAAGAGGAGCAGGGGGGAATGGGCGGGGCAGTGGGCTGTGGGGTGAGAGAGGCTATTTCACATCCATAGACCCTGACTCAGCAGTTCCCATTCTCTGGCTCCTTCAGTGGCCTTGATGGGGATGACCTGAGGGTCTCTTCAAGGTCAGAGTGGGCCCTAAGTCTGGGGCCTGGCTCAGGGATTGCCCTTCCCACCCCCTAGGAAACAGCCTTTCCTAGGTCCCCCTCCCGAGCTGGGGAGGGAGGTTCCCTCTGCTGGTGGTTGTCCACAGTCATTCATTCAGTAATTGACCACTCTGTGCAAACTTCTTCAGGGGGGAGGATGACTGCTTGGGGAGGTCCCCTGTGTGCACCTGTTCCCTGGTCATATGTTTGTTTCTGAGGGTTTAGGTACCTGTGTGCACAAGTATGTGTGTGTGTTCTTGGGCAAGTATGTGCCTCCTGTGGGTGTCTTACCATGGTGGGGCATTTCTGCAGGTGTCCCTGTGTATCTCTTTGGGAATGCCTCCTGTTCACAGATAGGTGTACATGGCTCTGTGTCCCCATGTGCATGCATTAACGGTTGAATGTGCGTGTTCTTGCCTGTTGCCTCTGGCTAAGGAAGTGCCAACTGCTACCAGCTGTGCAGATCACAGACCCTGCAACAGAAATTAGGGTCCTGGAGTGAGCTGGCAGAATAGTCTGGCGTACACACACACACACACACACACACACACACACTGCCTCATTGAGAAGCCCAGAGTCCAACTTTGTGGTACACACAGTAGGTGCCAGGTCCACCTTTTATTAGCTGAGTGAAGAGGTGTCTCCCTCCCCGCACACTCATACACCTGCACAGTGATGCAGACGCCCCTACAGATAAGACCTACACCCCAGTACCACACTAACTCTGAAACTCATGGGTGGGGGAGGAGAGCAGAGAAGGGAGCTGCTGCCAGTTTCCCTCAGTGACCAGGCATGTGAAGCCGCAATCCTGTCCCCAAACCTACTCCCACCCCAGGTAAGGGCTTCAGGCAGGACTGGAAACCCCAAGCTCCTAGGTCTACCTCGACCGCTTCACTCCTTTTCCCTCCCTTCCCGCCTCTGTGCGTATCCCAGCAAAGCCCCTCCCTCCTCAGTTCTGGGGGTTCCAAGCTAGGGGGGCCCCAGGCGGTGGGAGGCGGGGCAGGCTACCGGCTGGAAAAAGCCCCCTGGCAGGCAGCCGTGGACCCGGTCCCCCTTCCTAAAGCTCCTCGCAGCCCCGGCCCGCCCCAGGGCGTAGCCGGCAGAGGGCGCTGCGGCCCCAGCCCCGCGCCAGTCCTGCTCCCGCGGTGCCCCAAGTCCAGGTCCACAGCCTCTCCTTCCGCTCGTCCCAGCCCTGGGCGCTGCCACACAGAGCCGCCGTCCGGGGGGTGGGTGCGGGACCCAAGGGCCCAACCCAGAGGGCGAGGGGCTAGGGAGCCTGAGTTCCCGGAAAAGACCTGGAGGCCGGGTTGGGGGTCGGCCTGGTTGGGGGCCCGAGCGCCCGGGCTAAGGACTGGAGAGGCGGGGAAGAGTGCGAGAGCCGCGGGGCCGGGACGCCAGGGTCCCTCGCGGGGGAGGGAGGTGGGCCGTGGAGCCGCGGGACTGGCGGCTTCTGCGCCTTCGCATTGGCTGCGCCGCTCGTCCGTTAGCGCAGCGCGGTCCAATGCGCACGTCTGGGGGGCGGGCCCTGGTGCTGGTGCTGCCGTCAGTCGGTGTTGCAGGGATGCGGCGGCGGGAGCAGCCGCCCTGACTCGCGGAGCAACCTCCTCGGAGAGGCACCGCGGCGGGGCCGGCGGGCGGGCGGGCGGGGACGCGGCGGGGAGCGAGAGAGGCGCGAGGCGGCGGATACTGCTGGTCCTGGCTGTGCCACCCGCCGGAGACGGGGCGGCCCTTAGCTCTGATCCCCACCCTCCAGCTCCTGGCGCCCCCAGACCCAGGTACAGGAGGGGGGGCTGCGGCGGAGACAGGCGGGGGGTGGGAGCCGAATCGGGTGAGGGGAGCGGATCGGAGGGGGCGGGGGAGGCAGGCAGGATGAATGGGGGGCGGGGGCGCCGCGCTGAGAGGGCTGGCTGGGTGACAGCAGGGAGGGGAAGCCGCTGGCGGGGGCTTTGGGGGTCGGAGGCTCTCTGTGGAAGGGGCACTGGCTCTGAGCTGGGGCGAATGGAGGGGGTGGGAGGGGAGGGTCATTGGGGGAAGGGATGGGGAGGGAAGGAGAGGCGTTCAGAGGACCAAAGAGGGGGTCCTTAGTCTGGGCTGGAAGCAGTGCTGGGCCAGAGGGGCTGCTGTGCTGTGGAGGGTCTAAAGGGGAGAAGCCAGCGCGAACTGAGCTTCGTGGGAGGAGGAGGAGAGGGGCCGGCGAGGAGAGAGGAGAGAAGTGGAGAGGGAAGGAGCAGGCCAGGCCAAGGGCTTCCTTCTGGGGGCACCCACTGAGGACCAGGCTTTCCCGGGGACGGGAGCCAAGGGGAGAGGAGGTTACTGGGAGGGAGCAAAGGGGAAGGTGCCAGGGTGCTGAGGCAGAGACGGTCTGTGCTGGTGGAGAGATGGGGTCTGAGGGAGAGGAGCGGAAGCTTGCGGGGGAAGGCTGGGGGTGATGAGAGAGGGAGACTGGGAAATCAGTAGGAGGGGGCTTGTGCTGGGGTGGGAATGCGCTGGGGGCGGCGACAAGGTTCTGGTCAGAGAGTGCTGCAGGGGGAGAGAGCGGTAGGGCCCTGGGCTTGCTCCCCCACCCCTAAAGAGGAGGGGACCATTTCTGATGCCCCAGCCGCCCCCCCCCCCCAGCTGAAGCAGCAGCAATCTGCCCTGGGTTCTTTGGGCTGGGGTATGAGCCCTTGAACCCTTGATGGGCTCTTGGGGACAAAATTGGCTTTGGGGGGGCTGTTGTCTCCTTTATTCTCACCCCACACCTGAGTACTGGGAGAGGGCATCCGGTGCCTCACTGAACCAGCAAGGGCTGGAACGGTGCGTTTCTTGGTGCCTGGAGGTGAAGGGGGAGGCTGCCCAGACCTGGTGTGATGGAATAAATCTTAGGGCTGAGTCGTGGGTCTCCAGTCCTTTTGACTACCTCGGGGGCTTCCGCACACCCTCATTTTTGTATGTGTTGCGGGGTGGGTGGGCTTCTCTCCCCTCTCTCATTCATTCCCGCCCCTCCTTCTAGTCTACCTTCCCAGTCTCT